TAATTATGCCGTTCAGGTTCACTGATATTACTTTATCTTCAATGAGGTTTTATACATTATTTGAATATTTGAACAAGCTTTTTCTTTTTATAGTGCATTTCCCCCCTCCAGTACATCACCTTCAATCTGAAGGAATTAAGTTGACTTGGTTTATTAATTCAGCTAAAAGATTATGCCCATGATTGGTTGGAAGATTTGTGAGGGGACAGGAAGGAAGTGAAGGTATGGTGTTGTTTGGTTGGATGAGTTGGGGGTAGGGGGGAGTGGGGGAGCTATAAACTCACAGAAACTCATCATATCCTACTATCCAAATTGGGGAAATTTTATAGAGAGACTTATTTTTCTTAAATTTTGCTTCATTTTCTAATATCAAGAGTGTTTTGGTACATTAGCATGATACATTCATACATATACATTTGTTATATTTTTAACATGTACATAATTATATTAATCATCATTATCATGTACATAATTATATTAATAATTACAAAAAAGGTATCGAATACGAGTACACTTTTTATCTTCATTTTTTGAGCTACTAACTAATCCACTCTCACGCTTCCATCAAAACTTTTAAAGAGCCATATATGAATCTTTTATAGTCATATGAGCTCATAATCATCCATTTTCCTAACAGATGAACCCACTGGTGCACTACAAAAATGGGTGGAGGTGGTGGTGATTGAGCCGTCAAATAACTCATTTCCCTCCCCTCCTATATCATCCATTTGTTATGTGTTAGCCAAAGACCTTTGAACTTTGAAGTGTGTCGGGAATTGCGGATATGAAGGAAGTTTTAAGGAAAAAACACATTCTCCATCGATTATGGAACATCGTTTGACAAAAGCTAAAAACATATGTACGAATTCCAGTTTACTTAATTAGAATGAAATATAAGCTTGTGTTTTCATTAATAAATCATTTATCACTTCATCTGTGAATCATCTCACTAAAGAGCATGCCATTGAGGAGATTTAATCGCCTTTTGCACGATTATGGTATTCATCCCCACGACCCCACCTATATCATATAGTATGAAATTTCCATTATAGTATAACTCCCTCCGTCCCTGAAACAACTTCCCACTTTCCTTATTTGGATGTCCCTAATTTAACTTCCCATTTCCTTAAATGGAAAATTATCTACATCAAAACAGTGCAAAACAGTGTCAAGCAGTGTCGAAACAGTAAAATTTACCCCTGGTAAGTTTATTTCCTAAATATGTGTGTAGGTCAAACCGGGAAGTTGTTTCGGGGACGGAAGGCGTATAACTCAATTGATCCATTCTGGGTAATCATATTATGGTGGAGTAATATGACTCGTGTAAAGTACCAAGAGATTATACCACTGGACGAATATCAACTCCGGGACTAGTTCCCTTCAATATCTGTACTCGCTTTGATCCATTTGAAGCATCTAACAACAATTTAGTGTCCTCTACTTGTACAACAGCATCAGCTCCATCAGGTATTGGTCCTGGAAAGAAGGTTATTTCAGATCCAGAACAATCAATAATAGAATGTCTTTCCGCCTCAGATATTAAGAGCCCATCAGGCAAGGTTATTTGGTTTAGATGTCTGGATGTGCGGAATTTCATTTTTTAAACAAAAGCATTTTGTGAAATCTATTTCAGCCCATAAGTAAGTAGATAGCTACTTATTCGATTACTCTACTTATTCAGCATATAAGCAGGATAAGAAGGATGGGCGCTTTTAACTACCAAAAGGGCTGTAATTTTCTAGATTAAGTGACAAAAAACAGATTAAGAACTGACCTAAAATCACACAAGATCATGCCATCCATAAGATTTTTACTTTTAGTGCGACTATTAGTAAGAGTAATAAAAAAAATATGGCGTGAGTTTCAAAGTTCTCCCAAATAAAGAGGGTGAAAGGAAATAAAATTGGACTGCAGAGGGAAGTTCAAATTTTTGTTCGTGCGTGAAAATAGATCAGATTTTATTATATGCAAGGCAAATGAGCAATCTCGACCACACAAGAGGGGAGTTTTGCAGTAGGCTAAAGCAAATACAATCAAAACTTGTAAACTTAAGGGGTGATGTCATATTGTCAGAATACGCGCTTCCCTGAATTTGCAATGTGCAGGGCATAGTAAAAGTATGTGTGCCCACAAGTCTAATAAAATGCATATACATGCCTATAACAGCTAGCTCACCTCCAGTTGTTACATATGCAGCAGTTCCAGGAGTCACAACCACACCAAGTCCATCATTTCCCGCTCTTGACTCAGTGATTACAGGATAGTCACCTACTCCATCAGATGCAACAACTGCAAATCCATCCTAGAAATCAAAAGGTGAACAGGTCCACATTGCTTATTATACTGACAAATAATGTAGCAAACTTAACGAGCCCCATTTATGAAAACTCAACACATTAAACATATGGATCCACAAATCATTCATTTAAGTAGCTGGCAGGTGAAATCATCTCAATGGAGCTAAAGTTTGTCATCTATTCGACCTCATTTGCAGATAAATTAATTGTTGTTTAATTTTGCAAACAGTATATGTCTAGGGAATCTGGGATGACTGAAGACGCAAAAAACAAGTCCGTGGAACCTTAAATTCTAAAAATTCTAACATCATTTAGCGAACAGAATGAAACACTCTAGCATTTATATTGTGCAGTGTTTGTGTGTGTGGGAGGGGAAGACGGACCTTGATAGAGGCAGGATAAGGAGGAAGAGGGTCAGGAGCAGTGATATCTTCGGCCAATATTCTGCCTAGAGCTTGGTGGAGCGGTAACGTAACTGGCGGTAGGCGATGAGCTGCACTGAGCACAATCTGAAGAGCCTCGTCCGGAGAAACCATCTTATCGGATATTGGAGTGCCGCCGCAATCACTCATGTCTCAATCCTCTGTAAGCGCCCCGCAGTCGGCGGTGGACTTGGTGTTGCCTTTGCTGAATAAACTTGCGGATGCCGTTCACTATAAACCAACGGCTATGAATTAGAAGTAAAAATAGGAAAATGCCAAGGCTCATGGACATTCTGTTAGGTACTTAGGTTTAAAAGTGGTGTTTCAAAAAAATCATGAAATTAATTAAAGTTATTTGGGTGTGTGATAAATGGCGCTTCAGCCGAAAAATGAGGGTTTGATCATTTTTAGTGTCTTTAACAAAGCCGTCGTTTAGCATGTTCAACATGTTCTACAGAACAGGGCCTCCGGATTTGTGGGGCTCCAATTTTCTAAAAATTTATTAGTATTACATAGTAATAATATAAATAAATATTAATCAGTAAAATACAGTTTTTTGTGGGTACTCTTACAGTCTTACTCATGTTTTATTGATTGAGTGATGAGTTATGTAGATTTAAATCAACTATAAAGTGATTTTTAGTTTTTTTATTACATTTTTTGATGAATATTCAATTAATTTCAGTAAAAGTATTTCATTTGAGTTTCTTTCTAATTCTTAATATTAACCTAGGGCCTCGATTTTACGTTTCGAACCGGACCTCCAAATTCATTGGACGGCTCTGGTCTTTAATAAATGAAAAACTTGTTGTATAAATAACTGTTCCGCACTAACGTTTTTTGACGAAACGCTGAAATAGAAATGCTGCAAATAAATGAGTTTTGGATTAATTTTTTGATATATCACATTTTCTACTAGTTTTTTGACCAAACAACTAAATTACATATACACAAAGCTTTTCTTATATGCATCTACGACTCTATACTTAATGATAACCCGATCTAACACTTCAATACTTACATACTCCGTATTTTTCATGTAGCATTTTAATGTAAAGCTTTCAACATAGATGGGTATGGATGGGCTACGTACACAACATGTCTTTTGTACGGGAAATTGATAACCTTCTAATCTTTCATGCGAGAAAAGTAAAAAAAAATCTATCTATACTAGATAAGTGGCTATGTAATGGGGATGAAGAAATGTAAATATGAAGAGAAGTTCAAGTGCTAGCGGCTCAAGCGAATAAATGATGATGAAATGTGAGGATGATGATTGTGATATACAGTTCCAGGGTTATATTTTATGAGTGAGAAACAACATATGAGATACAAGGGAGTGTATAGTAACAAGTACATTCTTGAGAATTAACCGTCATCCTTCTTCAAATCAAGATGAATGTTGTGTCCCGTTAAAAAATGTCTTTTGTACACGTTAGCCTACACATTAACAATGGCGTTTATATGAAAACAACTAAATTGACCACACGGATTTGGTGAACAACTTGACTTTGTGGCTACAAATAGTTATTCTCTATGCGAGAAAAAACTATTTGAAAAACTCATAATAATAGTTAATTAGTTTTCTATTATTTGTTCCTTTCTGATGTATAAAAAAAGTTTTCTATTATTTGTGAAGAGACATTGATTTGTCCACCACACATTGCTTTGGTGCGATCATATATGTATTTTTTTACGAAAGGAAAACCACCGTATAAAGACATGTATTAGTTGTTTGTGTCAAAACATTAGTTTTATGTATCAACGCAAGATTATCTACAAAATTGAACTTTCTAAACATTTTGTTTATAGTTGAACGGATACTATGTACTCCGTAATTTTCTTAAATTTATTCTTAAAATAATTTTCAAGTTTGGTTCTACACATATTTATTATGTAACACTTCGCACAAGATAATGTTTTCCCATGAATTTCAACGTGAATCTATAATTTTAATTTTCAAAGTAAAAGATACTCCGTACTAGTATGAATATTTTTTATATTCACCCATGAATATTTTATTGGTAGATTCTATGGTATTCATAAGGTACCATACCTTTGTCCATATGGATCAATGAGAATGTAAGAGTTGAATTATTTAAATCTAAATTAAAAATGATAAAGTAATGTGGTCTAATCAAATGAATGACAAGTATCATACCCCATATTTTAGAAAGATATCCGGACTTATTTTTTTATTATTTAAAGATAAATTTTATTTTGAAAGAGCTACCATATTTTTCCTTAAAAAAACAGAGCAACCATACGTTGCCACGTCATTCATCTGATATTCTTTCCGTCGGACATAATCGATCGTCATCCTCTTCGCCATTCTTTCCTTCCCATCAGTACAATCGCATTAATAATTCGTCTGAATTTCTGATCATTAACACCCTCAAGTTTTTCTGGATAATAACCACCTCAACGATCTTCACAAATCTCCTTCTTTCTCCTTCGTTCCATGTTTTGTAGTCTTCTGAAACCCTAACATCGTTCGGAGTTCAATGGCGGAGCCACCGCGAACAATTGCCGCTGGCGCGACGTTGGCCAACAGCCCGCAGGCATTGCAGACGAGCTCGCGTTCTATCACGGAGACGGTGAACGGCTCGCACCGGTTTGTGATCCAGGGTTACTCGTTAGCTAAAGGGATGGGTGTGGGAAAGCACATCGCCAGTGAGAACTTCTCAGTTGGTGGTCACCAGTGGGCTATCTACTTCTATCCCGATGGTAAGAACCCCGAAGATACTTCGGCCTACGTTTCTGTATTTATAGCATTGGCTAGTGAAGGGACGGATGTCAGGGCTTTGTTCGAGCTGACTCTGCTTGATCAGAGTGGGAAGGGAAAACACAAGGTTCATAGCCACTTCGATCGCTCCCTCGAGAGCGGCCCCTACACATTGAAATACCGTGGCAGCATGTGGTAATATTCTGATGTTATAGTTATTATTGCCTTATTGGCTATCCTGCATTTTCGTGCTTTACTGGAAGAAAATGCTGTTCTTAGTTGGGCTATTGGGTGATGTGTTTGATTCATCAAAATCCAGGAATTCAAATGCTCACAGGACATGTCTTGGCTTTGTAAAAATATGATCTTGTACTTGGGTAGGTTGTGTTGTTTCATTAAGCTGAATGGAGAGTGGTTCAAGGGTGACAAACGCCCAAACTAATTGATCTGCTCTACATAACTACTGATGTGGTCTTATAACATTTCCCACAAAGACTGGCATAACATTGCCAATTTTATGTTCTCTATACACAAAGTTTAACTGTTGTGGTAATGTGGACTGTGGTCTATCATTGAATCAACATATGTAGAAATCAATGTATCTGTTAGTTTACTAGATTTGAGAGTCTGAGACCAACACTTCAATCTCTACAATTAAATGTTTCTCCTTATTTAACCTGTGGACCAGCTAATATCAATATGCAAAGTTTCTGTAGGGTGCTAATTGGAATGAGAATATACTTTGCATCTTAAAAGCTAACAGTGTTTCTAACTAATCTATGACCATTTTACACTCACTATAATGCTTGTCTGAGGTGGACTGGTGGGTGGATGTGGGAGTGCCCACATACTTGTATGTAGAATCACATGCTTGGGTCCAGTCATGGATATGTCGTGAGACTAGGCCCCCAACATGCCTTCATTAGGACACAGTGAATGAAGTTGATGCATGAATAATGAGATAAAACGGGTTTCTTCTTCATATACATTAAACTAAAAAGTTACCTCCTTCGTCCCTAATTGTTTATCCCTCTTTTCCTTTTTGGTCACCCCAAAGTTCTTTCCGGATTATTTTAAGAAGGAATTGTGGGTTTGATTTTGATTCTCTCATTTATAAATAAATATATTAACCATACCATTTCGCTTTCTTAACTCACATCAGGAAAAAAATAGGAAGAACAATCATGGAAAGAGGGAGTATAATTATAGCATTTGCAGCATCATGGTCTTATGTAAAACCAGTTTTGAACTAGAAGCACAATATCTATAGTGTAAAACTCCATAGATGTACTGATTCATTGAATTGAATGATTTGGAAATTGACATGACCGCTGAGCAGCCTGTATCTTTGAATAAGAAAACAAAGGGTAAGTGAGATGTTGTGAATTTCATGGATTATGTTATATATTTTCCAATGCATTTCTACGGTGTAAAACTAAGATTGTACATACACTTGATGCTTTGTAGTCATTTAGTCTTTTTAATCAAAATTTGATTTTTGGGAGTACTTATAGCGCATTAGCTAGTATCGTACAATACAAGCGACACATATCGTTACATCGCAATGAACAAAAATTAAACACGGGCTAGCAATTTAAATCGCAGAATGAATGAAAGTGGTTAGGAATTGCTGCTGTATCAAACTAAATCATATCAACCTTGAAACAAAAAAAAGAATTGTGCTATTCATGTTTGTGCCTATTGATCCATCTTTTATACTCCCTCCGTCCCGCTAAGATTGTCCCAGACACTATTCACCTGGTCAACACAAATCACTCTTAATCTCTAACTTTATATATCAAATTTTTATCAAATTTGATTCTGGTTTTTGCGACTTTGTAAAGTTTTTAATGTAGTTTCTGAATATGTAATTTTTTTCTTCTAAAAATAATTTGAGTGCGGACAGTTTGCTTTATCGTCGGTCAAACATCGTACACCGAATTGTCCCAAACTTAGTGGGACGGAGGTAGTATGTGTTAGCAACTCACAAAAAGCCTCAAAATTCCATTAGAGAATATTTTACACTCCAACAAGAATTCTATAAACTTGATTTGGCATTTCCAGTAGTTGTTTCTGTTAATGTCATTTCCCATGTAAGAGAATTTACAGAATTGAATACAAAAGGGAAGCCTGGTGCACATTGGCATCCCCTCAAGGTGAGGGTTTGGAGAAGGGTCCCACCACAAGGGTGTATAGAGGGGGTCAAGCCTTCCCTTGTCATTTATTTAGAGAATTGAATATAAACTAAAAATAAAAATTCTTCAATTTTATACTTCTAGTTTATGAAGCTTGTCTTGCTCTAGATCTTCATCTATGTTGTTTCACCTCATCCTTCAATTTATCTTGCTTCCTGCCTTTCTCTGTTCAAGATGACTAGTTTTAGAAGTCTATACTCTGTTTCTCTCTGTTCACTCTACCATCATTTTTTCTACCACTTACACTCTCTGCCCTAGTGAACAGTTGTCTAGTTAATCTCTATCTCAATTGAAGTAATACTTTTTATAATTTTTTTCATCAAAGACCAATTGTTTCAGAATCTCTTAGTCCTGTTATGTATTTAATTATATAAATTGAACCTATATAAATTCTCTAAGTCTTTACTGAAGTGGAGAAGTGGACATTAAATAGTTCTAAAATTTAATATTTTAGCTAAATATTACTCCCTTTGTCCCACTAAGATTGTCCCATCTTTCCTTTGCGGTCCGTCCCACTAAAATTGTCCCATACCAATTTTGGTAAAGTTTGTGTGATTCTAAATCATTCTTACTTTATCAATTCAATATCAACCACATAAATCTATTTTTTTATAACAGCACTACCTCCTCTTGTCCCAATGTTAGTGGGACGAAGGTACTATTATTTTACAATTTAATATAGAAGTATGTTGAGACCTTCATATCAAAGAGGTTGGCATTAACTTAAATATACTATAGTTTATTGGTCATGCATCTCACTATTCATAACAAAATAGATGTTTCTGATTCAAACATGCTTAAAGCCCACCTCATGGGCTCGTGAAGTACACCTCCAGTGAAGTCCCAAGAAAGTTTCACTTAAGCTTTTTCAAGACCAATATTTAGCACCATAGACCCCTTTTACCCACGTTGCTCTCGTTGTATAAAGAACTTCCTTATAAAGTATAATATTGTCTGATATCTGTCTGTCTGGAACAAAGCTATTCTTTGAGGATCGATCACAAACCTCATCACAGTTTTAACTTGGGGATAGCGGAGATCACTATGCCCATTCATCCCTTCTGTGAGCTTTACTTTGGAAAAGAAATCAATACCAATCCCTGTTATGCACTTACCAACAACTTCCCCACGCTCTCTGTTAGAACCCAGCATGGAATCCATCAAGTCCCTGGCTTTTTATGGAGCCATGTCAAAGTGAGCTTCTCTTATATTTTTTTCAATTTATTGGAAGGTACTTGGACCAAAAGAAAGGGTAATTCTAGGGAACATGAAAACCAGACATTATTGAGAGACATTCTCAGGTATCAAACATTCATTTGGCTGATAATCTGATGATCACTTGAGAACTTGACCAACTTTTGATCACCCAATGATTGTGTGACACGTAGGAAGTTACTTGTTAATGTGTTATTTTTATTGTCGCCCTAGACGTTTTGAAAATTAATGGATGACCTGTGGTCCTTTTTTTCAATAATTGAGAGTGCAAATAATTAAGTATTACTCCATCTATTCTAAAGAATTCATATTTCAACAAAAGAAGGCAACAAACTAAGTTTCATTGAGCTTAAACAATTCATGATGCTCAACAAGTTTATATTCCGTCGGCCTTCTTATGTACAAAGGTTCACCGCATGGAAGTTAATCTTTGATGGAATGAAATGTGGTCTTTCAGGATGCAGATTCATGCAAGACTGAGTATAGAACAGTGCAACACACGTCCTTTTCTCTATTTAGCTTGGAAAACCAGGAAATAGGTCTCCTATGAATGAAACACTAACAATTGCTGCACGGCTGAGTGGAAAGTCTGAGTATAGAAGAATGCCACACTCTGCCTCTGGATTGTTTTGTTAGAACACTAGGGAAGCTTATCTCTCGATTTGAACCTCATATATGGTAATAGGTTTTGTAGAAGTTGCTTGTCGCCACACATGTGCAAATAGGTTTGCTTACCACTTGGTTATGCTATTTAAGGATGTAAAATTGTAAACAAGACTAAGTTAGACTTCTCCCTTGCCAAGACGAGTCCTCAAATACTCAAAAAAATCAAAACATATCTGTGCTAGCTTTTCTCAAACATTAGAATGACCAAATAACTAAACATATTATCTTTCATACTACATGTAGTATATGTTGTGTTGCTTCTTAAAGCATTGGTTCTTTGTATTTTGTTACATTATTGCACATGTATTCTAATATGTCTTCTCATAGAAATATAGAAAAGAACAAAAAAGGTCAAAATCTCAAACCAATTGATAAGTGCCTGTAGAAAACCCCCATCCTCATTGCATCTTATCTCCTTGTCTACTTTGATCCCATTTTTATCTGTACCATTACAGTTCATGTGCCTGCCTGGCAATCTTTCCCTCTTTCATGTCTGTCTAAGACCTGTACCTCTCTGTGCATTGTAATCTTGTTTATTTAGTGATCTTGATGTTGATTTTGGTACTGTGATTTTGTTGCCAAAGTTCACTGTTCAGCCACCCGTTCTTTGCACACATCTGAAGTAAGCATGTCTATGTTGTCCAGCCGTTGCTTTTTCCCCGCAATGGTTATTGTCTAACGGATAAAAGGTACATGCATATATCCGCGAATCATCAAAAAATGTGTACAAAAAGAAACACGGGACGTACCCCGGTTCCAAAGCAATCAAAACAAAATGCCGTTGCACAATAAATTGGCTACGTTCATTAATCAAAACAAAGCATTCAAAAGCCACACGTGGCAGAGTCAACAAAAAAAGTCCACAATACAAAACAATTTAGACATATATTGTCTAAGCCTCTAAGGGTAGTTCAGATGGAGGGGTTTTGAGGGCCAAGCTTATATCTTGACATATATTTGAGATTTATAAGAATAAAGTGAATAACATATAATTTAATCATGTAACATTTCAAAGAAGGTAGTCAAAGGCAAGCGCTGGAGCGCTTAAGAGAACCAGGCGAGGTGCTAAATAGATTAAGCGCTTCAAGTGTCCAGGCGCATATAAAGCGCAGAGGCACATGCCTGTGGCGACTGGGTCGAGTAAGGCTTCTCGGCCTATTTTTCTTTTAAAAAAATTATATTTGTGCCTATTTCTCCACAAACCCATATGCATATTAAGGTATCAGTAGATGAGCCCATCCAAGTAAGTACTAGGATAAAACAGCAAAAACTCTTCTCAGATGCGAGTAGAGCAATAGGAGTTAGAAGAACCGATGAGATTTATTATGAGGCATCCATATCTTCTTGTACAAGCTCTAGTCGTAGGCTTGTTGATGATAAAAGTGATGCATGATTTCGTTATTGAATTTACTTTTATGTTATTTTGAAGAATGCATTTATAAAAATGAATTATGGAAGTATCTAAATTATTATGCTTATGTCATTTTAATGCATTTTGTTCAATAATTCTAGAATAGTTGTTCAATTTGTAAACTGTGCGCTTGGTATGAGTCAGCAGAGCGCTTTTTTGCTCCTTGAGCGCGCCTCACGAATTTTACTACCTTGACTTCAATCAACCTCATAGTTTTTAGATTTAGAAGCATTTCACTTATCAATATATAGACTAAGCCCTCCCAAATGTTCCTCTCCAAAACCCTATATCCCAACTGACCATAAGGAACTGTGCAATTACATTTATATTACTTTGCGATACAATTTTTGCTCTTATTTCATGCGGCCTCTTTCGCAACCTGGTAATCTGACTTCTTAATATGCGAAACTATGCAGGGGGTACAAACGTTTTTTCAGACGAACATCACTTGAAACTTCAGATTACCTTAAAGATGACTGCTTGAAAATTAATTGTACTGTCGGAGTTGTACGTTCCACAATAGATTGTCTAAGCTTGCATTCTATTCAAGTCCCAGATTCTGACATTGGTGCACATATTGGCATGCTTTTGGATAATATGGAAGGCTCTGATACTGTTTACAATGTGGCTGGGGAAAGATTTAATACCCATAAAATGGTTTTGGCTGCTCGTTCTCCAGTTTTTCAATCACAGTTACTTGATGTTGCGGACGATGATAAAAAGGAAATTGTAGTTACTGATATGGAACCCAAGGTCTTTGAGGTTAGCAACAGAGCATATACATTTTCATTACTGGTAGTGAGGAATTGAATTTTCCTTGCCTGCAGTGGGCATTGAATTTGTGAATGATAATTAATGTATCAATTTTAATATTAGCAGATTTATTAAGCCCTTATTTGTTTTGGAAGGGGGGTGGGGAAGGGGTGATATTTATTATGATTACTAATTGCTACACTATCAGATTACTGGCTAGAGTGAAAGTTAAGATGAAAGAATGTATAGAAGAAGTATATAATTAAACAAAATATTTAGTTGTTTTCTAATTTAAGAGACTAAGACTAACAAGAGAGAAATATTAGTGAAATGATATCTTGTGTAGAGTTATACTTCAAATTGAAAGTATTAAAGTAACAATATTAAACGCACAATTCTTTCCTTAAAAGATTATTTGGGATGGACAAAAAAGAGAGCAGGAAGCTTACAGGACGGATGGATTGTATAGCTTTTTCGTTAACATTTATGTGGTATGCAACAGGCTATGCTGCATTTTGTATATAGAGACACTCTTATGGAAGAAGACCCAGAGGCATCTAGTTCTTCTTCTGTCCCTTCTATATCTGATACATTAACTGCGAAATTGCTAGCAGCAGCTGACCATTATGAATTGGGAAGACTCAGACGAATGTGTGAAGTTCGTCTCTGCAAATATATATCTGTAAATTCTGTAGCTAATATTCTGGCTCTTGCTGATAAGTATCATGCCACAGAACTCAAAGCTGTCTGTCTTAGATATGCTGCTGAAAACCTTCCTGGTATGATTCTTTTATATTCCTCTTCTTCCTCTTCTTCTTGTCCCTTAGTCTGTAATATTAGCTTCCGTCCATCCTTAAAAAACAGTCATCTTTAAAAAAACTAGAATACTCATGTTTAGTCAAATAACGCAAAGCCATTTTTGATGTAATTTCTAAAAATTTGTTAAGAACTTTATAAAAAAGTTGAATATGATACATTTAGATAAACTAGCATACAAAATTTTAAAAAGTTGAATCATGATTTTATGATTCTTAGTTTTACCTTTGTCAAAAATGAAAAGTCTTATCTTGTCAAACATGTCTCTTTTTCTTTTGGATCCGGAGGTGTATTCATTTAATCATAATCTTAATATATTAAACTCCCTCCGTCCCTGAAACAACTTCTCACTTTCCTTATTTGGATGTCCCTAATTTAACTTCCCATTTCCTTAAGTGGAAAGTTATCTACATCAAAATAGTGCCAAACAGCGCAAAACAGTATCAAACAGTGCCAAACAGTGTTGAAACAGTGTCAAAACAGTAAAACCGGGATGTTGAAACAGTATCAAACAGTGTTGAAACAGTGTCAAAATAGTAAGTTTATTTCCTTAATATGTGTGCAAGTCAAACCGGGATGTTGTTTCGGGTACGGAGGGAGTATGAAAGGAAGAGAAGATACCCAATCTATTCAGAATTCAGATGCTCCTATGATTTTGTACAAAACATAGGGTCTTGGAGTGGCTTCTAAAATAATATCAATAACACTATCTGTTATTTCATTTTCATAGAGGATTTTCAGTTAAAAAACTAAACCACTCTGGGGTGAGAGTTTCGGCCAGGCATGACAGGGTCAATTAAGTACATGTAGGGTTAGGCGAGGTTAACCTGAAAATTTGTAGGCGGCCAAGGGAGGTCTAGCCTCTAGGTAAGAACTGGGCACAACTATTTAGAAACGTAGATCATACTTCAGTTGCAAGGATTTCACCACACCCACATCCCACATTCACCTATGTTCCGTTTAGAGCAAAAAATATACTAGGGAAAGAAACAGCAAACAAACCATAGCAGGAAATTTTAAGGAAAGGTAATTTGGGCCTAAAGAAAAGAGACTAAAATAATTTAATTATTTTTGGCTTTTGGTTACTCTTATTTCTATTTAATTAGTCCTATTATATAATACACAATAACTGATACATGTAAGTATATGTAAATTTTTGGAAAATATCTGACCGTGTTGTCGTTTTCATTTGTAAAGGTAAAACAAAACATCTGGAAAAAAACTTTATTTAACAATTACGTCTTCCCTTTTTCTAGCATTATATGGAATATAATTGTACCCTTTGGGTCCTTGGGAATCTAGAAAATACTAGGCCAAGAAAACAGTTACGCAAATTGGAAGGACAAAAGATGGTGGGAATAAAAGGTAAACTCAATCTCAATACATTTATTTTCAAAATTTGGCAATAATATTTCATTTATTTAAAAAATGTGAATACTAATAAATCTAAATATATGTAGAAATTCTTAAAACATTAATCATATTTCATTTGGGTTTGCATTTTCTTAGGTAAAAAACCAGCATAAAGAAATACAAGATAAAATAACAGCACTCATTAAAGTTGAAAAAACTAACAGCGCCTCTTTGGGCTGATGATTTAGATATATATATTGATCGGGTATCTTGGTGGTGCAGCTGTGATGCAGTCAGATGGGTTTGAATATCTAAAAGAAAACTGCCCGTCACTCCAATCAGAGCTTCTGAAGACGGTCGCTGGTTGCGATGACGATTGCAAGAGCGGAGGGGTCTTGAAGTCTCGAAGTGTTTGGGCACAGCTTTCTGATGGCGGTGGGGATTCCAATGGCAGAAGGGTACGTCAAAGAAGCTGATTTTACACTTACTATCAAGACAAGTTGTCGATTTTGTTGTTCTGTGTTCGGGAACCCGAAATCTGTGTCGTAGGACTAATGAATTTTATGGTTTTGTTGAGTGGAGCTGTGATGGTATCGCTCTGGTGGTATCGGTATGTGATGGTTTTACAAAAAATGCATAGTTTTAGTAGCTGCAGGTGTTCAGTGATGGAATCCATTAATTTACTAGCCAGGGCTAATTAGTTGGGGGAATACTAGAACTCATCTTGAAACTAGTAGTACTTTAATAGTTAATTCTACAACTTCAGTCTTCTGCAAAGTATGGAATATTGATTATGTTGCCTTGTTAACAACGCTCTGCTTCTTTGAAAGAGATTGTTGCTGCCACCAGTACTCTGCCTGCAACATATTGAACTCAGTTGGTACCATTTCATGTTGAGATGGAACACTATTTATTCTATAGTGATGCCGACTCACACGCTGTACTCTAATGCTTGTATTACTAGTTTACAGGTACTACTATAATAAGTTACGTTTACCACTTCTTTTGACAAGAAACATTTTTTTTTGAATCATTTTTGTTTTATCAAGTGTTGTCAACTCATCTCAGGAATCAGGAGACGAATGCACATATGTTAGACCTAGTTTGTCAAATAGTGTACCGGGCTACCTGCTAAAACCATAATAATAGAAAAATTTTGGTTTAGCAGCCAATTTCATTGAAATTGCCAATAGCATTTTGAGGCTTTGAGCTATCAGCTAAACTCTATCAGCTATCAGCTATAAGCCGTTTGGTAAATGCTATTGGCTGAACTGGAGAAATGAGCTAAATTTCTGGAATGAAAAACGTTTTTAGTCCAAATTAGTCAATTGTAACTTATTTTGCTGATAAGTATGGGAATCTATTCTTTTCGTCCGAACAAATGTGAACTGATCTAAATTAAAGATTTGTCTGCGTTGATCCATACTTGATACCGTTTGACGCTTTCGGAATATTTCCATTATTATCTTGGCCTACTCCCAATGTTTCTGGTCTTATAAATATTTCTTGTCTGGTCTTATGTGATAGGAATGTTTCTCATCCGGTCTGTTTTCTTTAAAATATGAATAAATTATAAGCAAAAAAGGATGTTGAGAACTGCTGAACCTGGCTTTACTTCTCAGTTCTCAATTATAGATTTGCCTTCCAGCCCAGTTCATGATCCCGGACCGGTCTGGACCAGAACTGGTTGGTTCCCAGGACCAGATCTGTTTTTCCGGTTCAGGTTGATGACCGCCGCAGCGCCGCTAGACCTGCTGTACTCCAGGTGCCGATCCCAGTTACGATTTTGGGGACCGGAACTGGCTGACCAGTCATTTTATTTTTTGCGTTTCAAGGCTTGTAAGCATTTTTAAAGAGATAGTTCTATTTAAAAGTTGAAAATCTAGTAGTGATATTACTACGTATGTTTTTCTAAATTCATTACCTTATTTACCATCGTCATTATTACCACAATGCCTCAAAGTCTTGGCCCTTGTTTCTGGATGACCCATAGAGACTGTATTAAATTCATTACCTTATTAAGTCACTTTTTTTCACCAATCAATTGTTTTGGATTTAAGTTTAAATTCAGTTATATTTTAGGAAAAATCTTATCAAAATTTTTGTTTTGTGGTCTAAATTGGCATTTATTGCGTCCCATACTCGTGTCTCACACAACCACCTAGACAAACAGTCGCATGTTTGGATGCACAACACTACCTCATTAAATGTGAATGAAAGTCCTCACTATAATTTCTTTTGTCCCAAGATGTAAAGAAAAACAGGGTTTTGGCTTATGCATTGCTGTTGTATATTCAAACAAATTAAAGAGGAGTGTCGTTCCTACCTAAACTTGGGCCTGAGTCGAACTTCAAAAAATGGACCCTACACATAGTATTTGGTTATCACTTAGATTCATTAAAAATTAAATATTAAATATCACAAAACACAATTTTAAAATAAAAGTCTTAGATTATAACAAAATGACATTGAATTTACTAAAACAACTTATTAAGTACGGAGTACAACTTGTTGAACAGTTAGTTGCAAAAGTACTAATCAAGTCTGCATAATCTATGTCATCAATACATTCCTTCTCAATTGATAACACAACTAATCCATTCAACCTTTCTTGGGACACGGACACACGGTTGATCGTACAAATGTTTTAGTTTTGAAATACTTCTTTCTGCACTTGCTACCATCACAAGTATCGTCAACAAGATCTTGTATACAATGTATGCATTAAAAACATCCATCTAAAAAAACAAGAATCAACCAGCATTTAAAAAATTTACAAATTAACTCATTAGGCATTCACATATGACAAATCAATTATACATCACATTTTTAGCAATCCAATACGGAGTATAAAATTAGAAAATTTCTGAAAATACAAAAAAATAACCAAATAACTAAATAACTAATCTTTCAAAAAAAAAACAAATTACTAAAATAACTAAAGAGTAAAGAAGCCAAGAATGGAGAGGGAGAAGTCGGCCAGATAATAGACAGGGGCTGCTTAGTGCTCTGAGCAGAGAAGCCATCCACACTGCACAATAGGTGTACAATTATTCCGCAGCTCTAAATCGTCCTTCAATTGCTTGTGTAGTTGTCTCCTTCGCAAGATCACAAAATTATTGCAGATAGGGGCCGATTAACCTGCTTTGTGCGGCGTTATTTGCAAACAGACGGATTAGAAAATATACATATGTACAATACTAATGCATAAAAAATTATGGGCCCCTATTTTTTCTGATTTTTTTGGGCCCTGAGGCATTGGCCTCTCCGGCCTTACATAAGGCACGGGCCTGTTAATAAAGAGTACTAATTTTGTTGGAGATATGTAGTGTGTTTAGTACTACTCTATGTCACAACATCGATATTTTTGAAAAATACTTCTTTCCTTTTTTTTAGTTGCAACAGTCAACCTTGGTACATTTGTCAACGCACGCATTTGACCGTAAGTATATCTTAATCTCTATTAATAAAAAATATTAAAAATCGGATTTTGAAAATTTGTAATGAGATGAATTGAAAAATATTTTTTTTAAAAAAAATAATTTCCATAAAATAATAGTGTAAAATGTAATCAAAGTAGATCATGTGAACAGTGCAAAAGGTCCACATGTTGCGATTAAAAAAAATGGAGGATAGTATTTGGCTAAAAAAATCCGAGAATTCCAAGATGTTACCTGTCCATATATATTTGGGCACAATAATTTCACGTTCAACTTTTTTAATTAAATGTAAATAAGGTACTACCTACGTCTAGGGATGGACTCGGGCCGGTTCGGGCCCGGCCGGGCCTCGGTTCATGAAAGGGGAGGCCCTGAACTGGCCCGGGTAACCCCCGGGTCCGGTTCGGGCCGGGCCGGGCCTCGGTTCAATTTTTTTTGGCTTTTCCTAATTAACCCCCAACCCTCCCCCCTCACCTCCAAACCACCTCAAATGGCCCAAAATACCCAGCCCAACCCAAAACATAAAAAAAAATCAAAAAAAATTCAAGAATTCATTTGAATGCCTTCCCGATTAAGGTTTTAGCTGAAATTTGGTATGAGTAAACTAGACTTAATGAATAAGATGCTAAAAACAATTCATCAAAAAATCCCACCGGGAACCGCCTCGAATGGCTACAGCCGGAAATTAAGGACTCATTTGACTCTTTTTATGCAACTTCGAGTACCGATCTGACCCTTACCTCAAACCAAAAAACACTGTGTGTATACTGACGTGTACAAATCGGCCACGAAGCATAGTTGGTAGCGTTAAAACCATAGCAGACATTCTTATAAGAAATTTCTGTGCAGGAATGTATATATCTACATTTTGTAATACGCATGCAATACAAATGAAAATGGGAAAAGGTGCAAATAGGCCCATGTACTAGCCAAAAAAGGTCAAATAAGCCCTTATTTAGGAGGTTCTGTCCGGCCGTCGCCATTTGGGGTGGTTCCCGGTGGAGTTTTTTGATGAAATTTTTTGAGCATCTTATTCATTAAGTCTAGTTTACTCATACCAAATTTCAGCTAAAACTTCAATCGGGAAGGCATTCAAATGAATTCTTGAAAATAACTGTGCAGTTAGAAGCGCAGTTATCTTCAAGAATTCATTTGAATGCCTTCCCGATTGAAGGTTTAGCTGAAATTTGGTATGGGTAAACTAGATTTGATGAATAAGATGCTCAAAAAATTTCATCAAAAAATTCCACTGGGAACCACCCCAAATGACGACGGCCGGACAGAGCCTCCTAAATAAGGGCTTATTTGACCTTTTTTTTTGTTAGTACATGGGCCTATTTGCACCTTTTCCCAAAGAAAATAGTTGAAATATTGGAGAAGTAGCTAAAGCCCATTTAGTAATCCTGAAATCGGTTAAATTTGCTAAAATTAAAGAAGTTTTGGCTGAAACGGTTGGATTGGCTGTTTGTTGAATTATTAAAAATATATTTGAAATATTTTTATTAATAAATTATACGAAAAATTAGGTAAAATCATCTTATACGGTGACTTCAGCCAATTCAGCAAAAAATAACTATAATCTTACTGATTTTGATTATTGCGCAATTTAACGTGCAAAATAAAAAATTACGTGTTTGATGGAAAAGATTGATAGGTCGAAAACACATGTCACAAAACGGGCTCAACAGATTGGTAATATGAGGTTTGATCTAAATAAAAAACATTTCGATATGGTGTGACATTATTATACGCCTTTGTCGTATATTTGATTGAATTAGTAATTTTCTTCGAATGAAAAAGTTTTCTTCCAAAAGTGCTATGAGAAGCTCCCCTTTAAACTAATCTTTGGCAAAGAATTTGATAAACAAGTTGACTTGCTCGAAAACGAGTTTACAATCGTATCTTTTAAC